CTCTCTCTCTCTCTCTCTCTCTCTCTCTCTCTCTCTCTCTCTCTGTGTCATGTTTTTTCTCGCTTCCTGCCTGTAATGCTTGAACTCCATAATCCTGGTTACAGCCATTACAAATCCTGCTGCCTTGACTTTAGACCCCAGACAGGAGACAGGCTCTGCAACTTGGTTTCATTTAGCATTCCTCTGAGCTTTACGGGCAGGTGTTTAACATTACTGGCAGGATATTTATTAGCAACTTTAAAGGCAACTTTTTAGTTTTTTTTTTTTTTGCTTACCTCTCAATTAGGCACACACAAATACAATGCGCACACTGTTTGCGCAAGCGCCCACACACACAAACTCCCCCCGCTGAGCATGAAAACATAATAGGATGCTCCATGTTGAGTGGTTATGAGTTATTGTATCTTTATTCAATGCCTTGTTTGAGGTGCTGATCCACCCCCACCCCATTGCTTTCCCCCCGCCACCTATTCTGCCAGGTCAGAGTATGATGTTGGGTGCAGAGTTGGAGACATAATGGGACGTGTGGCCTGTAATTACTGAATCTTAGTGGGGCCAGTGGCTGTGATGTGCAGTTCTCAATTCAAGGTGCTGCCTGCAGCTGCTTTATAACACTGTTGCCCTCTGCTGCTTGATTGCTGGCAGGCTTGGGGAGCGATGTCAAGTGGCAGGCTGGAAAATGTGAAATCCCAGATAAAGCACACAGACCTTAGAGCCATGAAGCTCCCGTAATGAGGAAAGTGATGGGGTTTGGGCACGCTTTAGCAGCCACTAGTTAGCCTTTCGGACTCTCTCGCTTCCTTCCAAGAAAGAGCGGCGAGGTGGAGGTGTTTGTATATTTGACTTTTCTAATCCTGGATTTAGAGGGATCTGCGGCTCTCTCACAATGTTAAACTGGCGGGTCGGTCAGCACGGCTTTAGAAATGCCTGGCTGAAATCCTCCCGGGTCGTCTTGAGACATAAATCATAAATCAAGAGCACATCCTGCCGGCGCTTCTCGTGTTTCCCAGGGTTGGTTTCTTTTGAAAGTAATTGGGAACCCTTTTGTAACGTGGCTCCTTCAAGACAAGGCAAAAAGTCTTCCTGATATTAATGGCAGCAGCCTGATTTTTTGAACAATTCAGGAGCCGGTGTAGCAGTTAAACGCATTCCTAGTTTTGTGGAGGCCATTATTCCTGCTTTTTAATCACCCTTTTGGCTTTTATAACTACTCTGAGCCTTAGTGTGTGGCTGAGGGGACCACATGTGGGCGGAGAGCAGGGCTTGTACTAAACTGCCAAAGAGTCACTTTTTCTTTTTACTACTGTGCAAGAAAAAAGCAGATATCCTCAGCGTATATCCTAACATCTAAACATAAGATTGAAAGCTATTTCTGAAATTTCTTCTCATTGAAACATGCAGAAAAAAACTAAATCAAAGATTCTCTTCTCGTATCGTCTGCTTTTAGATTACTACTCAACAATAGAGGAGTTATTTGGTTTTGAAAAGGTAATTCAAAGTCACACTCATTTTCTTTTGTGTTTTCTTGTRTCAGGCCTGAAAAATATTTTTAAAAACAAATAAATCTGGCATCTTTTTTTTCCAAAACTAGCTTCGAAGCATCTTCTCTATTGTCTGCATTTGACAGTTTTACAATTCTTTCTTTTTTTCTTCTGGTGTAAATCATCCAGTAATATTTTGGAGCAGAATTGTGTTTCAATTTTAGCCAATTTTCAAACACAATTAAGCTGTTTTTTTTTATTGTAATGACAGCTGTGTGTTTGTAAAATTTCATGCAAAACATACACATATTAGAGTAATTTAGAGTTTATTCATGATGCTGAATTMATTTGTTTTGTTGAAGCATTTTACTTTATTTTGCTCACTACTTTTAATTTATTATTGTAGCTTCTACACAATATTACACAAACTTACAGTAAAAAAAACTGGAGTGTGCTTTAGAGAAAATATAAACTTTAAAGGTTAATCACAAATAAGTGTTTGGGCAAATATTCCTGTCCTGTCACTGACAGGTAAAGGAGAACAATTATGTTTTTGCTCATGTCTGTGTGTGTGTGTGGACATCRTGAGGATCGTTTTCTATGTAAAAACAGCTTTGTGGGGACTCAATGCTCTATATGGGGACCAAATCCTGGTCCCCACAGATACAAACTGCTGTTTTTGGGTGGGGGTTATCGGTTTAGAGTAAGGGGTCTGGTTTAGGCTATAATGGTTGGAAATGAATGGAAGTCAATGCAAAGTCCCAATGAGGATAGAAAACCCCAACATGTGTGTGTATTTATGTATTGTCTACAGGCAAAGTAGCTCATGATTGAGATACTTTTCTCAGAGATCAAGAAGGGATTAACTTTTGGAACCGACCTGATTCAAGATGGCGTCACCGCCAGCTGATCTTAAACTTTACAAAATTGCTTTAATGCAGTCAGTTTTCAGGATGTTATGCTAAAATTTATTGTGGTAGTTTAGTTTATTAGATTTAACAGGGAAAATGTGC